ATAATATTAGAATAAAAAGAATTTGTAGGTTATGAAAAATAGCTTGTTAATGATATGTACTTATGTTAAAATTTCTGTTTAAGCATCCCACACCCTATGAAACCCTCTCTCAATGAATTATGTCTATGTCCAAGGTCAAAGCCAAATAGTCTAGAAAACCTAGAATAATAATTGTAGTGTCTAGCAGGAGTATTGATTACTAAATCTATTCAAGATAATTTAAAAACAGTTTTACATAATTGATTAGTCTGTCAACTTCAGACAGTTTCAGGTTCAAATTTCAGTTCCATAACTTTCTGGCTATATGATGAAGGTTGCATAATATATTTCCTCAAACCTCAACTCCCTTATTATTATGTGGGGAATATTAAAATATACCCTCCAAGAATCAGGCCAGTAATATGCCTGATATATGTTTAGTTCTGTAGAACTGGAGCATAAATGGCTTATAATGAATTAATATTGCTGTTACTACTCTTATTAATATTACTGTTACCATCCCTAAAACATTGTGTCTTTGATTTTTGTTTTTTAGATGCAGCCATCATGGTGTCTTGCTGTGCTATTTCTTGGTCAACTGTGGATTATCAAGTAGCTTTAAGAAAATCTTTGCCTGATAAAAATCTCCTCAATGGATTCTGTCCCAAAGTCACTTACCTCTTCTATAAGTTGTTTACCTTATTATCGTGGATGCTGAGTGTTGTACTTCTACTTTTCGTAGATGTTAGGGTCACTTTGTTTCTATTGTTATTTCTTTGGCTTGCCGGTTTCATATGGGCATTTGTAAAGCAAACTCAGTTTTGTAATTCTATAACTATGGAATTCTTATATAGGATTGTTGTTGGATTCATTCTTGTCTTTACTTTTTTTAATATTAAGGGACAGAACACCAGATGTCCAATGTCTTGTTACTATATTGTCAGGGTACTAGTTACACTGGGAATACTGACTGTGTTCTGGGTTTACCCTCTTTCTATTTTTAATTTGGACTATTTTATTCCTATCACTGCCACCATAATGCTTTCTCTTCTTCTTGGAATTGTTTTTCTTCTTGTTTATTATGTGGTTTTTCACCCAAACAGAAATGCAGAAGCAAAATATGATGAAGTTGATGGAAAATTAGTTCAGAGAGATTGTAGAATGAGATATTTTCTAATGGAATAAGTTACCAATTTATGAAAAAAATTCTAACTTTTTGTTTCATTGGCTAGTAAAGAAAATGTGTGTCATATGTGTGTGTTGCTCCTATTCTTGCTTCCTTTAACTTGACCTCATGGAACATGTGGATATGAGAACATGGTAACGTTATGTTCTTTCAATTCTTTTTTTGTGGTACTGGGTATTGAACTCAGGGCCTTGTACATAACCATGCAGTTGTTTTACCATGACTACATTCCCTGACATCTTAACTGGCTTTCAAAACCTTGAGTATGGAGATATTTGCTTACTGTCCTGTGGAGCTGCCATCTTGCTCCTGAAATGGAAGAAATGATGTGATCCCATAAAGGCCCATGCTAGCTTCCTTCCAGCCTTTCCTTCATTGTTCCTGGAAATGCTGTGCCTATTATGGGCTATTGCAAAGGGAAGGGAAGAGTAGAACATCTCGTTCTTATTTTATTGTCTTCATTCATTGCATGGGCTTTGAGTTGGGAACAGTTGAGTGGAAGAGAAGGGAAAAGGAGGAAAAGAAGAAGACAAATTCTTAGGTACATCCATGATGCCCCAATCAGTGAACTTCCTAATTCAGTAAATACAAGGTAGAATTTTAAAGGATTGAAAATGTTATTATTTACTGCTTTTATAGCTTTATGGAAACGTTTTTATTAGTATAGGCTAATTATGTGTAATAATGGGTGTCATGACAGTTTTGTATATGTACATAATGTATTTCAATCATTCATCCTCTGTTCCCCATTTTTGTTCCCCTCCCGTGCCTGCCGATCCCCTTCTTCCCATTAGTCTTCCTTCTACTTTCACGTCTTTTGTTTAGGACCCATTAGGGTTGTTTGCAGGAGCATGGACACCTTTCTAGTGGCCACACACTGAAGAAAATGCCTCTCCCTTCTCATCAACCATTAACTGAATATACATCCTTAAGGAGGGGTGAGGTTCATGAGTCCCTCCCACCTCCATGACAGGACAGTGTTGGGCCCAGTTTTGTGCAGGTAATACAGCTGCTGTGAACTCAAGAGTGCAACAGTCATCATGCTCAGAAGTTAGCATTCCATACCACTTCCCCTTTTCCACTGGCTCTTACATTCTTCCTGCCCCTTCTTCTGTGCTGTTTCCTGAGCCTTGGAGTTGGGGGATATAGATGTTCCATTTATGGCTGTACATTCAACAGTCATTTATTTTCAGTAGTTTGACTAGTTATGAGTCTCAGTATTCACCACTGACCACTGTGAAAAGGAGCTTCTTTACCCCAAACTGACAGCACAGTTAATTTGTGGGCATTAAATATAGTTATCTGGAAGGCAGTTTGATGGCCACTTTAGGTGCATTTGGCAAAACAATAGCTGAAGTTTCCCCAGGGCCTATGACCTCCTCAGCCTTTTGACTGGGTTTACAGTACCAGATACGAATTCCTTCCTGTGCAGTGGGCATCAAATCTTCTTGATATAATGTATATCAGTTTTATTTATGCTAAAATAGTTTTCTAGTCATATTTTATTAATGATTTTTATTTTAATTGTGGGAAAACATAGCAAAATGTACTATCTTAACAGTTTTAAGTACAGGTCATCAACTATATTCAACTTGTTGTGCAGTAGATCTCTATAGCTGTTTTGTTAATCTGCAAAGCTTAGACTGTATATGCATTGAACAGCAACTCTTTCCTCTGTTCTTGATAATAAGTCTATTAATTTAGCATAATGTCTTCAAGCCTTATTCATGTTGTACCATGTGAAAGGTTTTCTTTCTTAAGGTTAGATATTATTCCATTGTATGCCTATGCCTCATTTTCTCAATTCATAGGTTGCCTTTACCTCTTGACTATTGTGAACAATGCAATGATGAATATGGGCTTGAGACTATTTCTTTTGGATCCTGCTTTCAATTTTTTGGATCTATGTACTCAGAAGTGGGATTGCTGATTCATATAGTAACTTTAATCTCTTGAGGAGCCTTCATACTGTTTCTTATAATGGAAGCACCATTTTATGATCCATACAGTGGACCAAAGTGCTGTATTAATTACTTTTGTGTCACTGTGATGCTCACCTGACAGAAACATTTTAAGGGAGGAAAGATTTGTCATGGTCCATGGCTCTGAGGGATTTCAATGCACCACAGTGGGGAAGGCCTGGTGGAGCAGCTCTGTCTGTGCTAGCAACAGCACGTGGCATTAGCTTCTCACACTGTGAGCATCAGGAAGCAGTGAGAAGTAGAGTGTACTGGGGCGGGGATAACATTCAAAAGCTCACCCCTTGTGATCTACCTCCACCAGAGAAGTCTCACCTCCTGTGGTGGTTTGAATGAAAATGTCCCCACAGGCTCCAAGTATTTGGACATTTTGTCCCCAGATGGTGGAGCTATTTTGGGAGGTCTTAGAAGGTGTGGCTATCCTGGAGGAACCATGTCACTGAGGGTGGTCTTACAAAGTTCTTAAGCCTTGCCAGATCTCCAGTTGCTCTCTTGCTTCCTGTGCCTGCTTGATGATGTGAGAGCTTAGTTTCTGCTGCTCCTGCTCCAGCCACCTCTAGCCACCATGCCTCCCTGCCATGGTGGACTGTAATTCCCCTGTAACAGTAAATGCAAATAAATTCTTCCTTCTATAAGTTGCTTTGGTCAGTGTTTCTATCACAGCAACAGAAAAGTGACTAATATAATAATTGGTACCAGAGAGTGGGCTGTTGTCTATGAAGAACCAGACAATGTGGGGTTTTGAAGAAGTGTGGAAGGCTTTGGATGTTTGGGCTAGAAAAGCGGTTGCTTGCTCTAATCAGAGTTTAACAGGCCATTCTAGTAAACACCTGGAAGAAAGTAGTGCTGAGAACAATGTAGTTCCAGAGGGAAATAGGGACTTAAGCAGCACTTGGGATATTTTGGCAAAGAATCTGGCTGGAGTCCGCCCTCAGCCTAAAAGTTTGCCTGAGGATAAGTTGAAAAGCAATGGACTAATTTCTCTGACAGAAGAAATTTCAAGACAGCCTAATGTTGAAATAGTGGCATGGATATTAATGGTGACTATTATGCAGACCTACAGTGAAAAAGAGCAAATGGGGCAGAAAGAACTACAGTTTGGATTGAAAAAGAGCACTAGGAAGGAGGAGCATAGAGATTTGGACGTAAACAGTGGAGAGAGTGCCTCCAGGGCAAGACCACACCCAGTTAAGCCTCCAACTCATGAAAGGAAAATTCTGCAGGGGCCACTGAAGAGAAAAGCTTCTAAAATGGATAAAGCAAGCTGGAGTCCATCCCAAAGTTGCAGTGAAATTTGGCAGTGTTGTTCACCTGGTGTTGGCTTTAGAGGCATGAAAGATGCAAGAGTGAATGGGTCATCAATTCTTCCTCTGTGGTTTCAGAGAGCCTCGGAGACCAGACAGCATGCAGCAGGGGTTCCTCTGCAAAGAGAATGCCCTGATAGGTCATTGAGTGAAGCTGTGAAGGTGAAGCTTGGTTGGCAATGGAGACTCCAAGAAGACATCGTGATGCCAGAGCTGTGAGGCATCTGCCAAGAAGACCTGCATGCAGGGAGTGGTGCCAGCACAAGAAAGACATGTGTGTTGCACGTAGCAAAGATAGAGAGGTGAACCATCTAAGCCCTTTGGAAGTAAAGTCCCAGAAGACGGACATGGAACTACTGGATTTGGTGGTTTTCAGTCTTGTTTTGGTCTGGTATTTCCTTACTATTCCTCCATTCCTCCCTTTTGGGATGGTAATGTGTGTTTGGTTCCACTGTATATTGGGAGTATGTAATTTGTCTTTTGATTTTATAGAGGCTTACAGTTATTTACCTGAGTCTCAGAAGAGACTTTGGACTGTGGGCTTTTGAATAGTATTGAGACTGATAATGACTATGGGGACTTTTAAAGTTGGAATAAATGCATTTTGAACTTAATATGGTCATGAGCCTATGGGGGCCAGGGGTGGAATGTGGTGGTTTGAATGAAAATGTTCCCCATAGGCTCCAAGTATTTGGACATTTTGTCCCCAGATGATGGTGCTGTTTTGAGAGGTCTTAGAAGGTGTGGCTATCCTGGAGGAACCATGTCACTGGAGGTGGGCTTACAGAGTTCTTAAGCCTTGCCAGATCTCCAGTTGCTCTCTTGCTTCCTGTGCCTGCTTGATGATGTGAGAACTTAACTTCTGCTGCCCCAACTCCAGCCACCTCCAGCCACCATACCTCCCTGCCATGATGGACTGTAATTCACCTGTAACAGTAAGCTCAAATAAATCCTTCTATAAGTTTCTTTGGTCAGTGTTTCTATCACAGCAAGAGAAAAGTGACTAATACACCTCCTAAAGGCTCCATAGTCTCCAAAATAGTGCCAAAACCTGGGGACCAGGCATTCCAAACATTTCAGTTCAAACCACAAAATGTTCCAAATTCTCTATGTCCTTAGAAAATTTGATATTTTATGATTTTACTTTCTTTCTTTTTGCATGTGAATGTATGTGTGGTGTACATGCATATGTATTTGCATGTTCACATGTGTATCGATACATGTATCTGATTGTGTGTGTGTGTGTGTGTACATGTGGAGGTCTGAGCTGTTTTCATCAAGGAAAGCATCAAGTGTTCTCTTTGATCACTGTCTACTTACTGAGACACTGTCTACTTCACTGAACCCAGAGCTCAGGCAATTCTATTGGTCTAGCTAGCCAGTTTGCTCTGGGAATCCCCTCTCTTCACCTCTGGAGTGCTGAGACTACAGGAGACCTTTGTGCCTGCCTGGATTTTACATGGCTTCTGTGAACTCTGGTCCTCATGCTTGTTCAGCAAGTGCTTTATTCTCTGAGTCAACTCCCCCTCTCCATTATTATTATTATTTGTCTTTTTGAGACCAGGTCTCCCTGTAGCCCTAGCTGGCCTGGAATTTGATATGGATACTAGGCTGGTCTCTGTCTCATAGAGATTCTCCTGCTTCTGCCTCCTGAGTACTGGAATTAAAGGTGTGCACTGCCACTCCTGGCTTTTATTATTATTTTCTTTATAACAACCATCCTAGTGAATATGAGGTGATAGCTCTGTAGTTTATTTTCATTTCTATAATGA